GGGCGACGTCAGGTACAGCGGCCAGGAATTCCTTGCCCTTTGCCGGAGGCCGCGGCTGGCAGGGACCTCGGGCAGGGCACTTAGCCCCTTCGAGCCTCGGTTTCCGCCTCCGTAAAATGGGTCTGGGGAGAGCCCCTACGCCCACGGGCTTTGGCGAGGGATCAGCGATCCGTGTGCCTCGGCTCCAGTGCACCTGCCCGGGCGCCACGCCCTCACCGCGTAGACCCCTCGTGCTAGTCCCTGCGCGCACACCTCAGCCGGGGACACCCCTCTGAGCTGTTTCCCGCTAAGAAGGCGGACGCCGCCCCCTGCCGGCGACTACGGAGAGGTTCGGGCCCCGCCCGGCGGGATTTGAGGACATAGTCCCCGAGGACAATGTCAATGCTACTGGGGCCACCATAGGCCGAATTTGGGTATCTGAGCCCCAGGATCTTCTTGCTCCTGCTGCAGACCCTCTTATCCTGCGCTGCCCCGGGCTTCTCTTCCTTATCGCCATTGCTCAGGGAGATAAACTGGCCTCCAGAGGTCCTGTGGCTTGCCTGGGGCTTCCCAGCAAACTAGGAGCAGAGGCAGGCGATGCTTTGGTGGGCCACTGGCCCCCCGCACTGCCGACACCCCGACCTCTCCATGGCCCTAAGAGTCCAAGGACCCGACTCCCTGTGTCTGTTTAGTTTCCCAGGCGGCAAGTGCGACCCGGCTGACCAAGACGTGGTGCACACGGCCCTGCGGGAAACCCAGGAGGAACTGGGCCTGGCAGTGCCCGAGGAGCACGTGTGGGGCCTGCTGCAGCCTGTGTATGATCCGGTAAGCCACCTGGCTGAGGCCACCGCCCCCTCATTCACTCACTCTGTGCCTGCCCTGGAGCTAGGTCCCCACGGACCAGGAGAGTGGTCATGGACCCCCACAGGCACAAAGTGTGGAGGGGTGCCCCTAACCTGCCTGGTCACATGCGCCACCCCACACAACCCCTTGGGAAGAGATTGGGGAAGCTCTGGTGTCCTGAGTAGAGGTGGCCCAGGGCGATGGGGTGGGCCACCTCTGCTCAGCTTGGTGGATTAGGGTCAGGGAGGCTTCATGGGGTAGGCAGGGATTGAACCTGGGCTTGAATGCCAAGTGGGAGATTGTCCTAAGCAGAGGGAACAGGTCTAGTGCATTTGAGGAGACCTGAGTCAGTCGGCATGGCTGGAGGACACAGGCAGGTGGACCTGAACATGACTACCTAAGGCCTGTGCATGGCAAAGGGGGTCTTCCTCTCACACTCCCCTCCCCAGCCTTCAAACCCAACTGAAGCCATGCTTCCCTGACCGCCTGCCCTCTTCCCCAGCAAAAGGCCACCGTGGTGCCAGTGCTTGCTGGTGTGGGCCCACTGGATCCCCAGAGCCTCAGGCCCAACTCGGAGGAGGTGAGCTGGGGGATGTGAGGGGTTGGACTGTTCCAGTTCTCTGTCTGCCCTCTCTGCCTCCTGCCTGCAGGTGGATGAGGTGTTTGCACTCCCGCTAGCCCACCTGCTGCAGACGCAGAATCAGGGCTATACCCACTTCTGCCAGCGTGGCCACTTCCGCTACACACTACCTGTCTTCCTGCATGGACCACACCGGGTCTGGGGCCTCACAGCTGTCATCACCGAGTTTGCCCTGCAGCTGCTGGCACCTGGTACCTACCAGCCCCGCCTGGCTGGCCTGAGCTGGCCAGGGGCTGAGGGCCTGGCCCACCCTCAGCAGCCCCTGGTTTCACCCTGCCAGGCCAGCTCCACTTCAGGACTGAATAAAGGCCTTTGACAGCTCTAGAGCTCCTGCTTGTCCTGTGCTGGGGCCTTGACATTGGGCAGACCACTCCAGGCTGCTGGTTGGGGCTCCTCCTTCCAGTCACGCTGTTCCCCACAGCAGTGGACACTTCCTGGGTGCCAAGTACTGGAAGTCAATTCATCTCACCCTCACAACAGCCCATAAGGCGGGGCCAGCACTGTCTCTGGCTGGTGAGACTGCTTTCAGGGGGGATAGACACCTTGCCTAAGGACCCCAGGCTGGGATTGGAACCAGGGCTGTCAGACTCCACAGCCCAGACTCTTAGGCATGCACTGCCCGTGTCTCAGCCTGCACCTCCTGTTCTCTCTGCTGTGCCTGGCTGACCCTGTGCTGGGCTCCGGGATCCCAGAGAGCAGTAAGGTGCACGCATGCCCCTGGGTGTTACTGCAGGGGTCTAACATACAGAGCCCCTGTGTGTGCCAGCTGCTGTGTGGGGGCCATAGCTATGGACCAGTCAGATGCTGACCTGCCCTCCAGAGGGGGTGCTCAGTCTAAGGGAGACCTCAGACCAGGTCACACAGATAATCATGTGATTCCACATTAATTAATCACAGATAATAGTGGAATTACATAAGATGTCAACTAGGTAGACCAGGGTTCTGTGAAAGAGTTGAGGGAGTGGGTGGTCTGAACTTGCCATGGCAGGATGGCTGGATCCAGGGGCTCAGGGGCTCTCTTCTTGCTGTGCTTTGTACTGTGCTGGCCTCAGCCCTGGGGAGGTTGTCTCTAGTGCAGAGTGTGAGAGGTTGAGGAGAGGGCAGCAGCATCCATCAACAGAAAACATGGCCACTCCGCCCGGCCAGTCTAACCCAGAAGTGCACCTCACTGGCCTGTCTTGAGTCACATGTCCTTCCCTGAGCCTGTCACATGGCCAGTTGGATTTACAATACATTGATAGATAGAGTCTGGGATGCTTGCCTGGGCAGGAGGGTGAACTCCCTGGACTGAGAAGCAGTGGTTCCCAAAGAACAACTGAGGTTCACACCTTATACAAAAATCAACTCAAAATGGGCTATAAAACCTGAAGCGAACTGGACTCTGTGGCTCATGCCTGTAATCCCAGCACTTTGGTTGGCCAAGGCGGGCCACTGTGACTTCAGGAGTTCAAGACTGGCCTGGTCATATGTAGTGAAACCCTGTCTGTACAGAAATACAAAAAAATTAGCCAGGCATGGTGGTGCATGCTTGTAGTCCCAGCTACTCAAGAAGCTGAGATGGGAGGATCGCTTGAGCCCAGGAGGCAGAGGCTGCAGTGAACTGAGATTGTGCCACTGCACTCCAGCCTGGGCAACAGAGTGAGATCCTATCTTAAAGGGGGAAAAAAAAAAAACCAAAAACCTGCAATGGTAACACTACTTGAAGGAAACATATGGGGAAAGTTCTAGACATTGGTCTGGGCAATGATTTCTTGGATAGGACCCCAAAAGCAAAGGCATCAAAAGTAAAAATAGACAAATGGGATGGCACCCAACTAAAAAGCTTCTGCACAGCAAAAGAAACAACAAAGTGAGGAGCGAGGCTACAGGATGGGAGAAAATCTTTGTAAACCATACACCTGATAAGGGGGCTAATATCCAAAAGAAACAAGGAACTCAATAACAAGAAACAAATATCCGAATTTAAACATGGGCAAAGCACCTGAACATACATTTCTCAACAGACACATGAAAAAATGTTTAACATCGCTAATCGTGCAGGAAATACAAGTGAAAATCTCAATGAGATACCACCTCACACCTGTTAGAAAGGCTACTACCAAACCATAGGAGATAACAGATGCTCGTGAGGATGTGGAGGAAAGGGAAGCCTTACGTGCTGTCGGTGGGAAGGGAAATGAGCGCAACCATTTTGGAAAATCATATGGCAGTCCCTTAGAACACCAAAAATAGAGGTACCATGTGATCCAGCAACCCCACTTGTGGATGGTATCCACGGGCATTGAAGTCAGCATGCTGAAGAGGTGTCTGCCTCCATGTTCAGTGCAGTGCCATTCACAACAGCTAAGACACGGCAGCAACCCGACTGCCCAGCATCAGACGGATGGATAGGATGGCGTGTCTACACTGTTCAGCCTTAACAAAGATGGCCATTCTATCATTTGTGACAACATGGATGAACCCAGAGGACGATATGCTAAGTGAAGTAAGCTAGGCACAGAACGACGAATACTATATGGTCTGATTTTTATGTGGAATCTGAAAAAGTTGAACTCCTAGAAGCAGAGAGAATGGTGGTCACCAGGAGCTGGAGAGTAGGGGACTAGGGATGGGGAGAGGGGAGACATTGCTCTTAGGGTACAAAGTTCCAGTCAGGAAGAGTAAGCTGAAGGCCATATTGCACAGCATGGCAAACCTCCCTAACAATAGCACCTTGTGTATTTCACAGTTGTTTAAAGAGTACATTTTAAGTGTTCTTTTTTCATTAGCTTGACTGAATCTTTCTACAATGCATATTGTAGAAATCACATTTCTACACATATCACATCAGAACATCATATTGTACCCCATAAATATCTATGGTTATGTTGATTAAAAATTAAAAGAATAACTGGGGAGAAGAGAGGAGAGGGAATGCCGGATGATTAAAACCAGCCAAGATCCCCTGCAGGGGGTGACCCAGAAACCAAAGGTGAGTAGGAGTGGCCCAGTTTGGGAGGGGAGTGGGCTCTCACTGTGAGATGCCAAGGGGACACTCCTTGGTGAGGTGAAAAGGGGTCGCGCCTCATCAAAGGGTTCGGATTTTATTCCAAGCAGGGGTGGAGGTGGGATGATCTGGTTCATGTTTCAGAGTGTAAACTGGCCACCCCCGCAGGGCTCAATCACAGGGGCCCCTTCCTGTGGCTCCCCTCCCACTTTCCCATGCACCCCCTCCCCTCCTCCTATGCGCTCCCTCCTTCCCACTAACCACTTATCACCTCCACAGCCCTCTGTCACCTCCGGGCCTCCAGCCTTCTCACCTGGGAGCAGAGCCACATGATGGTGGTAAAAATAACTCCCTTTGACAAAGTGTGAAGGGGGCAGAGGAAGGAGGGAAGCTGAGCCCCAGCGCTAGGAAGGAGCTCTGGGAGGGTTCTGAGCTCTGGGTCACCCTCGCTCACTGGGGACACAGCAGTCACGGGCTCTACCCCCGAGAGTGCACACCCATTGCCAGCAGCAGCGACTCACACTGGGTGAAGTAGCTCCCAAAGCGGTAAGGACTGGGAGCTGGACTGACTCCTGACACACCCAGTCCCCTCCAAAGCCTGCCACGACCCTCCAGGCTGGGGACTCCCCTGGCCCCTCCCCCAACCCTGCGCTCTGTCCTCAGGTCCCCTGCATGGTATCAGCGATGCTGCTTCACCCCATCTCCGAGGCCAGGTGTGTTCCCCCCAGCCCCAGTCCTCAGGCATTTCTCTGAGTCCTCGCCCCCCGTCGAGGTCCCCATGGCGGGCACGGCGGCAGCAGGTGGGCGGCCTCCCCGGGTGAGCATGCAGGAGCACATGGCCATCGATGTGAGCCCGGGCCCCATCCGGCCCATCCGTCTCATCTCCCACTACTTCCCGCACTTTTACCCTTTGACGGAGCCTACCCTGCACTCTCCGGACCAGCGCCCCGCGGCGGCGTCCACCATCCGCTCTGCACCCCAGCCGCAGCCCGACCCAGAGCCAGAGAGAGACTCAGACGACAGCAGTGAGTAGGGGCGGGAGGAGGGGACACCCTGAGCTCAGTCCAGCCAGGAGGGGCATTGGGGTGTCCCTGCCATCTGGCCGTGGAGGGGCAAGGCAGGAGGTATGTGCCATGGGTGGGGGCAGATTGAGCTGAGGTAGGAGGTGACCCTGCCTGCCACCTGCCTTTAGCTGCCCTGGCCACCCTGGAGTTCACACTTCTTTTTGATGCGGACAACAGTGCCTTGCACTGCACAGTTCATCGTGCCAAGGTGAGGATGGGGGTGGGCGTCCCTGGGACAGAGGGCTGGGCCACAGGCCTATCTCATACCCACTGTCTGTTCCCAGGGCCTCAAGCCGTTGGCCTCAGGCTCTGTGGACACCCATGTCAAAGCGAATCTGCTGCCAGGGAACAGCAAGGTGAGGGCAAGCCCCAGGCCCCCACTGCTGCCCTCTGGTGGAACATCCAGCCTGCGGCACCCACCTGGCTCTGCTTGGCTCCTCCCCACCCCCAAGGCCTGGGTCCCAGTTGCTGGGATGTGCAAATAGTGGGAGGTCCTACCAGGGAGGCAGGATAGGGGGTTGGAGGATGGTCTTAACCCTAGGAGGCCCTGACCCACCCTGCTTGGGCCCTAGGCCAGCCAGCTTCGGACACGCACCATTCGAGGTACGAGGGTACCTGTCTGGGAGGAGACACTCACCTATCACGGCTTCACCCGCCAGGATGTTGCGTGCAAGACCCTTAGGTGAGGATCCAGCCTGGGCCACCTGGGGGTGGAGCAGAGGGATGGGGCTGGCCTGGCCAGGTCTGACCTGGGCGGCCACCAGGCTGTGTGTGTGCGAGGACCCATGGCTGCGGCGACGGTGGCGGGTACCTCCCCTAGGGGAGCTGCAGGTGCCCCTGAGGAAGCTGGTGCCAAACCGAGCCAGGAGCTTCGACATCTATCTGGAGAAGCGGAGGCTGGTAAGTGGGGCTGGAGCACAGGGTGGGGCTGCAGGGGCCAGGAATCTTGTGATGGGAGCTAGAGGGGAGGAATAGGGAGGGGGACCTGGGCAGCATCTGGCCAGGATGACCGGGCTCTCTTCCCTTTCAGGCCAAGAGGCCCAAGAGCCTGGACACAGCCCGCGGCATGTCCCTCTATGAGGTGGGTAGGACGGCTGGGCTGAGCAGGGATGAGGGGGCAAGCCTGGTGGCAGGGGCGTAGGGGGCTTGGAGGAACCTGAGGCCAGCTCTCACAGGCCCTGTGAGCCCTCATTGTCCCAGGGGACAGCCAGGTCCCCAATGGCAAAGTGAGGGTGACTCCCTTGCCAGGGCAGCCCCGAGGAGCTGTGGGGCACTGGGACAAGCAGAGCCCTTCGGGGCACAGCCGGGCAGACACCTGCCTTGAGGCAGAGGCTGCAACTGGCGGCATTTATCCGTGGCCTGAGATGGGAGGCTGGGCAAGGTGGAAGAGAAGACAGACGGGCGAGGCTCACTGGGTGGGGTCTGGCCCTGAGGGGAGTGTGGGGACCACTCCTGGGGCAGGCCGTCCTAGACAGGCCCTTGTCCGGAGGCAGTGAGGGTGACTGCAGAGGTTTCTTTGACGCCACTGGAGACCAAAGACCTAGCTAGAACCCCTGTGGTCAGTGGGGGAGGCAGCTGGGATGCTGACAGCAGGGCCCCCTACCAGCTCCTCCCCAAAGTGCCGGGTGCCCTGCCCTCTGGTGGAACCACAAGTTGCTGCAGCTGTTGATTAGCTAAGCCCAAGTGGCTGAGGCCCACCAAGGTGGCACGAACAGGCCACTTCTCCCAGCGCCAGCCCTGTGTACCCTCTGCCCCAGATCCCAAGCACAACAGCGCCTGGAGCATGGTGGGTGCTCACAGAGCACTCCCGCATTCCTGAGAGCCGCCTGTGAACAAGGTGGTGGGGCTTTCTGCAAAGGGAAACCTACCCTGCGGTGAGAGCAGCACATCCTCCTGGGGCTTCCTCCCTGAGCCTGTTCAGAAGCACCAGGGCCCAGAGTGTGGCAAAGAACACTCAGAATCTGGTCCCCAGGGAAGTAAGGGGTGAAGAGGGTGGGGTTTTGAAGAGATCTGCTTCTCCTTGGGAAGTGAACATCCTCTCAGAGCCACTTGCCTACAGGGATGGCTACGGGCACCGGATGGGAGACCACTTAGGGAGCTCCTGGCATGTCAGCCAGTTCCCTTCCCCTCCATGACAGACGTATCTGACTGGTCATGTGGTCAGCAAGCCTCACCTTTGGTCAGGCCCTGGAGGGTACAGCTGACCCATAGGACCGCTTCCACGGCACTGTGCGAGTGGCTGTATTGGGAAATGAAGCCATTGCCCCTGATTTCTTTGGGGCCAGGTTGAGCTTTCCTGCCCAGAGCGCGGAGACTAAAGGGGCTGGGCTTTGGGCTGGATGGGGGCTGACCTCAGCCTACACCTGCAGGAGGAGGTGGAGACAGAGGTGGCCTGGGAGGAACATGGGCGCGTCCTGCTGTCACTGTGCTACAGCTCTCAGCGGGGTGGCTTGCTGGTGGGTGTGCTGCGCTGCGTCCACCTGGCCCCCATGGATGCCAATGGTTACTCGGACCCCTTTGTGCGCCTGTGAGTGAATGGGGTGGGCAGGTGGGAGGTGAGGACAAGACGGTGGCTCCTCACCTCTCCAGGGCCACACCTAACCTGCCAATCCTCCCCGATCAGTTTCCTGCATCCAAATGCAGGGAAGAAATCTAAATTCAAGACCAGTGTTCGCAGGAAGACCCTGAACCCCGAGTTCAATGAGGTGAGCCAGGACCAGGCAGGTCCCAGCCAACCCTGGCCTTGACATGCTGAGCCACTCCTCTGCTGAGGCCTGCTTCTTAAACTTTGGGAGAGCCAAGGCTGCCTCCTTCCCGCCTCTCTGCGCTTCTCCCTGCAGGAATTCTTCTACTCAGGCCCACGGGAGGAGCTGGCCCAGAAGACGCTGCTAGTGTCTGTGTGGGACTATGACCTGGGCACGGCTGATGACTTCATTGGTGAGTGGGAACATGAGGAGCTGGGGTGGGGGCCCAGTAGGCTACTGGCGGTTCCTGACCCATCCCCCATGGCAGGCGGGGTGCAGCTGGGCAGCCATGCCAGTGGGGAGCGCCTGCAGCACTGGCTTGAGTGCCTGGGCCACAGTGACCACCGCCTGGAGCTGTGGCACCCACTGGACAGCAAGCCTGTCCAGCTCAGCAACTAGCCCAGGGGCCCTGCCTGCCGCCCCCCCACTACAGCTGCCTGAAGCGTCCCCACAAAAATGATGGAGGTTGGGGCTGCCTCACCCATCACGCCCCCCAGGCCCAAGTCAGAGAGGTGTTTCCTCTCTCTCCGCTTTCACATTCACCTCCCCCCCAATCATGGAGCCGAAATAAACATCTCTTTCAAGCCAGACGAGACCCTGTCCTTCCTCTGGCCACGAGCCAGACTGGGCCCTGTTCTCCCCTCCCACCCTTGAGGATCCGGTGCTGGGTAAAGGGTAAAGAGCACAGTCACAGCAGCTGCAGCGGGAGGGTGGGCAGCACTCGCTTTATTGTCCAGCATTCCAGACGGACAGACACAGGACAGCAGGCCAGGGTGGTGGGCTAAGAGGCAGCCTGCCGGGCCTGATGCTGCTGGGCAAACCGCTGCATCCGTTCCTCAAGCTCCGGCCGAAAGTGGCGGATCAGACCCTGGGGTCGGTGGGGGGACTGTGTGAAACAGAGTCCAAAAATCCCGCAACACCCTGGGCCCTTGATGCCACCCACCCTCCGCGCTACGCAGAAGGGCGGTGAATACCTGCACAGGCCAGGCAGCCCCGTCACCCAGAGCACAAATGGTGTGGCCTTCTATCTGCTTGCTGATCTCCCACAGGGAGTCAATCTCGGCCGGCCGGGCGTCCCCCCTCACGAAACGAGCCATCACCTTGTTCATCCAGTCCACACCTGCAGCCACAGCCACAAGAGAGGGCCTGATGATCTCCCCAGCCAGGATGTGGGATGGTGCTTGAGGGGTGCAGGCCACATGGTGGGGTGGAGGTTAAGTGAAGCCACGGCAAGCAAACCCCCAGCCTGCCCGCTGCTCACCCTCGCGGCATGGGGTGCACTGGCCACAGCTCTCGTGCTTATAGAACTCAATGAGGCGGGCGATGGCTTTCACGATGTCCGTCTGGGTGACAAGGGGCAATCAGCAGGCACCCACGGCCAGACAGAAGCCTGGGCCTCAACCCCCTAGTGACAGCCCCTCCCCCAGTTCCAGAGGCTCTTCCCAGCCCACCCAGCATTCTGGCCTCCTCCAGCCTCCCTGGGCCCCCTGTGCTGCCCAGACTCCGGGTATTCTCCTCAGAGCGGCCTTCCTCCCTCCTCTTCCACCTTGCTTTACCTCAGGCTGCAGGAACTAAGACCTGAGTGCTGGCAAGAGGGTTTTCTGGGAGGCCCAGGGAGGAAGACAGCAACCAGGAGGGCAGGGACCGGGGCTGGTGTGTGAACCCTTACCGAGCGGTCCATGACGATCACCGCAGCCGTGCCCAAGCCTGTCTGTGCCTGCACCAGCGCGTCGAAGTCCATCAGCACCGTCTCACACACAGACTTGGGGATCAGTGGGGTAGACGAGCCGCCAGGAATCACAGCAAGGAGGTTGTCCCAGCCGCCCGTGACACCCCCTGGGGCCCCAAGTCAGTCCCCAAAGGGATGCATGGTCAGGGCTGGGGCCGGCACACCTGCCTAGTCCTGACCCCAGGCCCTTAGTCAGCCCCTAGACCCAGCCCCGTCTCCTGAGCCCTCCCGCTCAGGCTCTCTTCATGGACACCTGTCCACCCACATCCTGGCTGGCCCCAGGCCTTACCAGCATGCTTCTCAATCAGTTCTTTCAAGGGCACAGACATCTCCTCCTCCACAGTGCAAGGTTGGTTGACATGGCCAGAGATGTTGAATAGTTTGGTGCCTGAGTTGCGCTCTCTGCCAAAGCCAGCAAACCAGGTGCCCCCACGGCGGCAGATGGTGGGGGACACTGCCACTGTCTCCACGTTGGCCACAGTTGTGGGGCAGCCAAACACTCCTTCAGGGAAATGGGAAGACAACTGGTGGCTGCTAGTGGGTGGGGCAAGTTTCCTGGCAGGGAGGTGTGTCCCAGGGTCTTGCTCCCATGGCAGAACCCCTGCTCTAATATCCCCTTATCATTCTTATCCCTGCTGGACCCCAAACTCCAGAGATGCCTCATTGCCTTGTTCACCACCATGCCCTTAGCCTCAGAACAGGCACTGTGAAGGTGGAGCCACAGAGCAGCATGGGTGTGGGGGGACCGAGGCAGGAGGAGGGACTGCAGGCAGCCCTGGGGGAGCCTGTGTATTGTTGCCAGCCTACTCTTTATCTGACCCCAGCCGGGAAGGCACTCAGAAATCCATAAGAACAATTCGAAGGGAACCTAGCCAGATCCCGGGTGTCACAGGACACAGTCTGACCCAGGGTTACGCCAGGCCTTACCCACGTCTGCAGGGAAGGGGGGCTTCAGGCGGGGCTTGCCCTGCTTGCCCTCGATGGACTCGATGAGCGCTGTCTCCTCTCCACAGATGTAGGCCCCAGCCCCGCGCACCACAAACACGTCAAAATCATAGCCAGATCCACAGGCATTCTTGCCAATCAGACCTGCCTCATAGGCCTCTCGGATGGCCACCTGCAGGACAAAGGTGTGACTTTCCCAGCCGACCCCCAGCCCAGCAGTCAGCCTATAACTTCAGGAGTCATGAAGCCCTTGAAGGCCTCCTACGGTGAGGCTCCTAATGCTCCTGGTATAAAAAATTTTGCTAACTTAGTAAAACAAATTGGAAAACTTGACTATAATCTGCAACAGATATGCAAGAAGGAACACATAAGTAAGCTGCTTTGCTGCCAGGAAAATAAAAGTGAAGTAGCTATCATCAGGTCTCCTAACTACCCCAGTTTGTAAGGAAAAATAAAAGTCTTTATAAAATTAAAATAAAAATGTAATTGCCTATATCCTTATTGCCTTAACCTATTTTATTTTTCTGTATTTCCTACAGATATAAGTATTATTCATAGTTCCAAGCAATGAACATAATGTATTTTCTCCAAATAGGAATTATTTATATTCATAATTATTCAGCTCTCTTGCTAAACACATAGTTTCACTTATGTTCTTCTTGCTACTTGTTGTTATAATAAATACTATTATTTTTGAAGCAAAAAAAAAAAAAAATCATACCAGCAGCATTAGGAGCCCTGGAAGGTGGCTTTGGGAGCCAAGTCCCATTAGGGATGCATGCAAGACTGGCCACCACTCCCCCAGTTCAACCATTGAGAGACCAGGTGCTAACACCTCAGAACAACTGTGCTGGGTGAGGGGTGTGTAAGTGCACACTGAGCACCTTCTCATCTGCCCACGCCTCTCCCTGCCCACCTGCAGATTGGAGGCCTCATTGTAGAATTCCCCTCGGATGTAGATATAGGCGGCGCGGGCGCCCATGGCCCGGCCCCCAACCAGGCAGCCTTCCACCAGCTTGTGAGGATCATGGCGTATGATCTCCCGGTCCTTGCAGGTGCCTGGCTCCCCCTCGTCTGCGTTCACCACCAGATACTTGGGCCTGCAGGGGCCCACAGGTCAGAGAGGCTACAGGGCCACCAGGGCTGGGTCTTCAACTCCATGCTACCCCACTCCACCCAGGGAGGCCTCAAAGATGTCTCCTCAGACAGCCAATCCTTCACTGCCCTCCCAACATGTCCCAGGGGCTCTGCTTGCTCACCACCAAATGACAGGGAGCTTACTGCCTATTCTATCTTTGGGCAGCTATAACCACAAGAAAGGTCTTCATTCAGCTCATCCAAACATCTCTCCTTGTGTCTGCCCCTGAGACCAGATTCTGCTCTTGGTGACAAAGAGCATTCCTCAAGCTCTACCACCAAAAGGAGGTAAAGCAGGTGACATTTATCATTTGCTTTATGTGCCAACCAGCATACAGGCCAAAAGCTGTATGAACATTATCTCTTTAATCCTTGCATGGTATCACTGTACCTATTTACAAAAAAGAAACTAAGATTCACAAAGGCCAGGAAATTGCCCAAAGCTCTATGATTAGGAGGCAGAGCTAGGATTTGAACAAAGTCTGCCTGAGTCAAAATCATGTGTTGATTCTGCTACGTAAGTCTCCCCTGTGGAAGTCCACAGAGTAAGTCCCATCCATTTAAGGCCTGGGAACATGTGCCCACCTCATTCATGCTGTTTTTAATTAAAGAGCCCAAAGGCCCAGGGAAGCCCCAGCCACCCCTAAGGTCTCTCCCACAGCCACATCTGCCCCACTCCCCAACACACACCTGCCATCTGAGGGCTTATTCATGAAGCTCCACTTGAGGCCAGTGGGGAAGCCAGCGCCTCCACGGCCCCGCAAACCCGATGTCTTGATCTCACCCAGGATCCAATCGGGCCCCTTCAGCAGGATCTCCTTTGTCTTGTACCAGTCACCTCGACTCAGGGCACCTTTCAGCCTGGACAGAGTAGGGAAGGCAGTGAAGGGGACGCCTTGCTCCGGGACCCAACACACGAAGGGCACTGTCTCACCTCCAGTCATGGCGGCCGTACAGGTTGGTGAAGATCCGGTCTTCATCCTTCAGCGAGCCAAATGAGGTTTTCTTGGGTGCTGTCTGGGGAGACAGAGGGTCAGGAGGCCCAGCAGCGCTCTGGGGCCATGAGGGATTGGGCCAGAAGCTACAGAATCTTGGGTCTCCCTATTTAGGAGGGGCTGGGCTAGGGCTAGGGGAGCATCTATAGCATCACAGCTACCACTGCCACTTAGTAACCTTTTTTTTTTTTGAGACAGACTCTTGCTCTGTTGCCCAGGCTGGAGTGCAGTGGCATAATCTCAGCTCACTGCACCCTCCACCTCCCAAGTTCAAGTGATTCTTGTGCCTCAGCCTCCGGATAGCTGGGATCACAGGCTTTCACCACCACACCAGGGTAATTTTTGCATTTTTAGTAGAGACGGGGTTTCACCATATTGGCCAGGCTGGTCTCGAACTCCTGACCTCAAGCGATCCACCCGCCTCAGCCTCCCAAAGTGCTGGGATTACAGGCATGAGCCACCGCACCTGGCCATTAGTAAGCATTTTTGTTTAGCAGATACTGGATGGAAGCATTTTACATTCAAAATCCCATTTCATTCTCATAACAACTCTGATAGGAACGATTTTCTCTATTTCACAGAGGAGAAAACTGAGGCTCGGAGCAAAAGGAACTTATGGAAAGTCTCACAGTCAAAAGCAGCAGGTCGAATTTGAGCCCAGGTCTGTCGGTGGCCAAAGCCCACACCTGCATCACGGCACCACACCGCCCCACAAGCCGAGTGTGGGCATGGCCCTTTCCTGGCCTGGCTTCGGGTAGGCCAGGGGCCTTTTATATTCCTAA